TTGAAGTAGCCAACCAAATCATGGGATGTCTCATTACCATGGCGAGGTTATGTGTCTGCAAGGTGGCCGGCCAGTTTCTTCTTTCAATTTAGTATATTTTTTGCGCTACTTCATAAAGTATGAATTGTTGCTTTGAAGACGAATGCTTAGCACAGGTTGATTGGGGTCACAATACTTGTTGGCACAATCCAAAATCTTCACTTCGGGCAATCCTTTTTCAGTTTCTAATGAGACCATGCTGCGAATTCAGTCCAGCCAACTCTTCCTTTGCAATGGGAAGTCATGCCACAATGACTATAAGTAGATGCGCAACGAAAAGGATACGCTGTGTGACCGCCTTTTTTGCAGTCTTATACTCCTAACATTCAATGGTGCCACGTATAGTGAGTGGATTTCGGTAGATCTATTGAGGTAACTTTATTGTGGAGACGTTCATTTCTTACTAATGCGTATGGCGAAGAGATTCACAGATCCATCTCGCCAGAGGACGATGGTGAATTTCCGCTGTCCGGCAGCTGATCGGCTTTAACTCGATTCCGTTCACGAGAGATTCTCCTTCGTTTCGGTTGAAAACGCGCTGAGCACGCAGACAAAGATGCGCACACCAAAAAAACAAAACCCAGATAAATATGAAGTGAACAGCCTAAATAATTGTGTATCCCTCAATATCTGAAATTTTTCATTTTTCCTTTTGAGTATATATATTGCTTTAACCTGCAGCTTTTGCAAAAATGAATTCCGGCTCGTCATTTGGCAGACGAAAGTCTAGCCGGATTTGATCCAAAACGAGAAAGGATGTCTCGTGAACTGCGTCAACATGAATGTAGTATTTAAGCCAGATTATGTATTGGCAACAGGTCCCAGCCATCGTATTCCAGTCAATGAAATCAACCTCTTCATCCCGCTCCATCAAGCAAAATAGAGTTAGAGTCAACAAGTGTCCAACAAAGAATTCATCGATAAATAACATTTTCTCGAATATATGACGATAATTGGTTATCCTCTTTTCCTTTATATTTCTCTTTTCCCCCTCAATTCGTTTCTTCCGGTAGACCAGTTTTTTACCTCCTTTCAGAGCTCGGCTAGCCCATTCTGAGCTTTTTCTCTATTTCATTCTTTACAAGGAATTTTTATGTTTGCATGACTTCCATTTCCGCATTCCTCACTAATCGTATTTATTACCAAAAATTGGCTTACAATCCTTCCTGTATGCATGTTCCAGGTTACCTCAGCATCGGAGAGATGGCCCACTCCAGTTGAACTTTGAAAGCTTTGCCTGACTGGTTGGTTGAGCGAATCCCATAATTGCATGTGATTGTCTGCTATCGTTTTATGGGTTTTATTGGCCACTTTTCCGACTCCCTTACAGCCTTATCATCTGAACGTTTTGTCTGGAAGATAAATCTCTATAAAGATGTTTCACTGGAATATGCTGTCTAAGAACCCGCCCCACCGGTTGCTTAATCTTCTTCTAACGGACCCTGGATTGGTTGATTTCGCCTCATTGCACTTTGGTGGCGGACTACGAGGTCGCAAGGTGGTAGATGGGCCCTTCTGTCGGCTTAGCAACGGCAAAGAAAGAACTGGATAGAACAGACCACCAGAACGGAGGGAGCTATGCCTAAATCTCCAAACACTTCTTCAAGACTGACCTTTCTGACTCCAGAATCCACCTAACAGCTGCCTAGTTACCGAAGGATGCTGTACGAATTTCCTGTCCAATCCTGCTTTCAGGGTGGTTGAGAAATTGACCGATGGTCATCTGCTCGCTGGTTGCTGAGGCCGAAGTAGGCCTTTTGTGGAAAGAGGGAAATGCATGAAC